GAGTTCGAAGAATTGACCTACAAACTTACAATGTCTGCGGTCACGTCGGCAGGTCAGACAACAAGTTCCTCAACTAGGAAACATGACACACTCACGCTAATAGTGAGGCCTTTTCAGCCTGCTTGGACAGGTACCTCCTCTGGTGCAACTCGCTGCTGATCCTTTATGATGTCCCAGTCTGGGGCAGGAGGCTTGTAGCGCGACAAGAAGGCAAGTCAGCGGACGAGTCGCAGCGCGTACTGTAGTGATTTCGCGTCAAGTTAAATAGAATGTACCATTGTACGTCCTACATCGCACATCACGCGCTGCGACTCGTCCGCTGACTCTGCCTTCTTGCCGCGCGACGGGCCTCCTGTCGGGTACCCCAGACTGGGACATCATGAAGGATCAGCAGCGAGTTGCACCAGAGGAGGTACCTGTCCAAGCAGGCTGAAAAGGCCTTACTATTAGCGTGAGTGAGGTGTCATGTTTCCTAGTTGAGGAACTTGTTGTCTGACCTGCCGACGTGACCGGAGACATTGTAAGTTTGTAGGTCAATTCTTCGAACTCTCCAAAGTAAGTTGAAAAGCTGAGCCGGACAGACTGGTTAGCCGTAACTAGACAATGCTAATTGTAACTGCTATTGCTAAACGAAATAATTCACATCGGGTTTCCAAAATATGGGTTGACTTTTGAAAAGTGCTGCTACCTAGATTACCAGATTGAAGAACTCGGTTAGATAAAAAAGGTTATCATTTCTTCAGGTGAACTGCGAAGGAGAATGCGGTCACTCGGCTTGGAAGCGGCCCTCACACGGGTAGAATTGAAAAATTTGAACAAAGCCGACAGGCATTGGTTGAGCAATATGCAAAGATGATGATAAAAGAAGTTCGGGCAGTTCCGCTTTCAAATTGTTCTCAAAAAAAAGTGTTTGACAAGCCTGGGCAAAGCCCGATATAATAGACCGTTCGCTCAGAAAATGAGACGTCAACCGTTCGAGCTCCTCGGCTGTTTATACTAGACTGCAACAGGATGAGCTCGAACAGTGAAATCGATCCATCATTGATATTCCTTTACCGCTGAAGCCAAAGCGAACGATGGTTGCTAGTTGATAAGGAATGCTGCGGATGCTGAGAGTAGTCAGAACAACTGCCACGGACGTGAAATGCATGGCGCAACCCAAGCTGAAGAATTTGGCTCGATGAACGATGGAATGTAAGCAGTAGGCGGTGGAGGAGTTAGATCGGAGATATGGAGTTGCACTTGAGAGCCGGGTATTAGCAGGAGAAGGTTCCATTAGACGACTTCATTTTCTGTTCAACAGCTATCTTCGGAAGATTGGGCTAGTACAATGAGTGGCACTACATATTGCACTATTGGCCGATGTCAGACTCTGCGATTGGAGCGATTCGATTATGTTGGGGGGAAAGTGGATCGCGGGGCGGTTCCGGGGTTC